ATAGAAACATGTGCGGAAAAAAAAGTTCAATATAAATATGATTATAACAACATTTGCTTGATTAGATAAACAACTTAAAACAGATTGAGAATGACCAAAACACATAGCTTTAAAGGGTGAAGTTAATAACATAATTTCATGCAATGTTAGAAATAACGTGTTTTCTATGGTAACTTATATTTTAGACGTGGGAAAAAATCAAGATATTTTGATAAATGCAATTGTTGAAGACTTACTGACGTTGTGAAGGCATCACAGGGAAAATATGCAGAAGGTGTATGCAGGAGGAGAGCAAATTGAATACCTAAACGGCAAAATTGAAAATGTTGCATGTCTGTTTGATTGAGCCTGTTCATGAACGATACTGGAAAGTGCAGTAAAAACTGTTGAAGGATGTCAAAAAGCCGAAGAAAAAAAGGATATAAAAATGCCATTTATAATTATGTTAGTTATAGTGACGATACAGAAGTAAAAGTGACATTTTAAAAAGAAATTAAATATTATTTCAATGCTCATACAAGTATTTTGTATTTAATATCTACAATTTTAACGATTTTGTATGTTATTTAAAGGTACACCTACGTAGGTAGGAGAAAGCTATATGTACAAGTTTGTTTTCTTCCAAAGTGGACAATATTGGCCCTTATCCAATTATAAAGTTTGAGCAATTAATCACTGGAAAACGAAATAAATTGTTTATATAACGAATTATTCATATCTTCGGACATGAAATCATTATATAATTGCTATCATAAATCATATTTATGGCAAATTTATTTCATATTAGCATATTATTTCCAGAATTAAATATAAATAAATGTATTATACGCAATTCCTATTCAGGAGAAAAAGATTTTAAGAAACGTTTCCTTTAAATGTATAATTAAGACATGCAAATATACTTTAACAAAAATAATCGTAATGATTTCGGGGGGACATATTATATCATAACAACATGAAACACATGCTGGCATGAACAATATGCATCTACCGTCCGTTATCTAAGGCTTGAATTGCATAAGAACGGACAACTTTGAAACTTTACCCAAAAGATATGTTTGTATTGTATACTTTGTTTATAACTAAAATGAAATGCTCACCTGTAATTGCTATATGTGCCCTTTAAATAGATACGAGTAATAATGCATATTTATGATTAATTATTAATTAACTTTTCAATATTAGGCACGTTTTCACTTCAAAGATAAGGCTTATATGAAGTTTACCACGACATTATAAACATAAAACAAGGCCATTATGGGAAAAATACGACCTTTATGAGAAAACTAGGCTATTATGAGATTGGAGAATTTTGAATGGCTCTCCAGCTCGGCCATTATGAATCTGCCTTTTTTTCATTGAAAAAAAAAAACGGCGACATTTTGAATTGCTGCAAGATAGCCTTTGACCTCAGGCTAATACCCAATAACAAGCCCATTATGAAAACACTTAGTTATTAACATTATATTTACAGAGTTGTAATAAAGATATATTTTGCTCATATTCGAAATTTGAAATACTGCAAATGGCTATACTGTCTCTTTTTGTAAATGTACATAACAATGTTTACACTAATGGAAGATACGTTTCTTCTACACACTTGAGTCATTAAAAATTTGACAGTTCCTTTAAGAAAAGAGAAATTAATCTTGACCAGTAATAGGGAATACAGCTTGCCATATCAAGTTAAAATTTGTGCATTCTCTTATTCAAATTAGACATATTCCGCAAGAATTTTCTACTTTTCACAAAATTCATGCAATTACGGTAAATATTTTGGTAAATATTTTATATAAAAATTTTGCGTACTGGTAAAAATTATGTTGCATTTTATTGATAACAACATAACATTGTGTAATGATAAACTCGTGTTTAACTGTAAATTTAATATTGACATTAAAATTAAGTCTGTCAACATTCTCTGTTGGTGTGATAGAATTTCTTATTTGTTTACAGTATCATTTTTACTGAATGCCTCTAAATGATTTCCTGTACAAAGCAAATGACCGTGGGCGCTTAACGCTGACTGCTACAGTGATCTTAGTTGTATGATCTAGGCTATGCCAGAGCAAATAAGTATTCAGTAGAATTAAACTTTGTTTACATTATGAAGATAATTGTCAATTCAGTGCATAAATGTAATACAAAAATAATTGCGTTATTATTTATTCATACCTTACTTTTGTATTGAAGCGTAGCAACGTGGGGGCCTTGTGGACTCAAATTATCTATATGTTTATTGACGCATTCTAGGAATCATTAAATATTATTTTACGATATCTGTCACAAAAGTACGGCAATATGTGTCTAGTCATAAACAATATTAGATCTTAAAATACTTATATTCTGAAGTGTAGTATACTGAATTTCAATCATGAAAAGTTCCTAAGATGCATAAATGTATAAATATCGCCATAAGAATTAGAACAATCAAAGATATACTTTACTTAAAATTGATATTTGAAATTTCTGATAATTGTTATATAGTTTCTTCTTAAATGTTAGATTAATATCTTTTGAGTACGCAGAGACTAAATGTTAGGTATTAAATTTTACACATTATAGGTAAGCACAGCAAGACTATTAGTTATAATAATGATATATTGATAATATAAGTTATTTAACAAAAATACATTTTCTTTAAAGAAAGGACCAAATTATAGATTTTTTGTACAATAAGTGGTGGTGCGATTTTACACCCAACCCCCTCCCTTAAAAATTCAGATTTATATATTTTTAATATGGAAATAATAAGATTAATTGCAAACAGTAGAACATGTAATATATTTTTGTTTGCTCTTAAATATAAAGTAAAAAATGTTGTAAAATAACTGTAGTTATCTTAATTTTAGAGTTTCTCTTCTTCAAGTTTAGATTAGAGATATTTCCCTCATATGATTTTATTGTCAAGGCAACACAAGTTCAGATAACAGTACAAATGACGTAGTTCTTATTCCAGACAGTTTAATGTTCCTTTGCATAATTAAAGTAAGATATCGGAGCATCACAAGGAATCCGAGAATATCTAAACAGGTGCATCAGTAATGATTGTTGAATTTAAAATCCCTTGACAGAGAAAATGAAATGGGAGGTAAGAAATTTCTGAGGATAGAGAAAGACAACATAGAGACCCTATGAAATATAACGAAAAGGTGTACTAGTTACATTCATTTCAATTTTAGTGAAGATGGTGAAGTAATAAATTAAATTTATCATTAATTAAATGGAATCTTAAATGTTCATTTTGCTCTAAAATCATATTTTACTACTCTACATGAGTTCCTATTTAAATAAAAGATTTGGCGACTTAGATAAGAGAACATTATATATACTCAAATCAGATGATTGATATTAATTTGTGCCATGATCACAGTGAAAAGTTTGTGCGGAGTTTCAGCAAGGAGCAAGTACTTATTTCCAAAATCAAAGCGTATAATAACTTGAATGTCTGTATCACATGTTAGGAAGTTACTACATATCAACACATATATTTTCAAGAATCAAATCATAAGGTGATCCATATTAACTAAGAAGTTTGTTCTTATAAATCATTTAAAGACACTAAGTTTACATACAAATGAATCATAGTTGTAAACTTATAATGTTGTACGTATTTGGATTAAATTCTTACAAATATTGAAAATTATATGCATTTTATATGACAAAATATGTCTGTTTATGAAACAGTTCTAAAATAAATGTAAAGAAGAGATACACGTGTTGTTTTTGAAATCTGTGTAAGGTGAAAACAAATATATAAAGAACCGTCCAGAGAATATTTGCTTTAGCCAATATTTTACCTTATAAATGGTTTTTAATTTTTCACATAACTATACAAAAAATTGATCCATGAATGTGTTATTCCCTTTTATTCTCTTATCAGTCTGGAATTTTTTATACTCCCTTTTTAGCTCACCAGAACCGAATGGGCCGCTAAAGCTAAAAATAGAAATACCTTTAAACGTCTATATCTACAGAACTAATTAATGGATGCTCACCAAACTTTGTCTGTAGCATTCTTAGGTACTCCGTTATCACGTTGGCACATATTTATTTGATTGAAGCCAAAAATTGAAAAACCTTTGAACATCATTTCCTAATGAAATAATTGATAGATGATCAATAAACCTTGAAACATTCTGAGGTAGCCTTTTATCATATTTGCTCATATCATGTTGATTGGCCCCGTTAAAGCTAACGCTTAAATGCCCCAGGTCATGGTATTTCTTCAAATTATTGTTTAAACATATTCTATGATCAAATTTATTATTGAAAAATATTGACAATGGATAACTTCCAACACAGAAAAGCAGTTGTTTATGGTGAGCGACTCAGGGCCATCATGGCCCTCTTGTTTGTTAATCATATTGGGTTTAATTGTCATTTTACAATATCTATGTTTTTGACTTTATATTTGAGACTTTTCAAGAGTATGGATGATCTGATATATATTATTTATTAATTTATTTATTATTTTTGTGCTTAATGTGTAATGTGTCCCAATTTTTCCCAGCATAATAAGAAAAAAAAGAGGGAGCACTTAATATCCAGTATATTGAAAGTAAAGAGGCAACATGGCTGAGAAATAAATGCCTAGTAATCGGTCAGTTGCGGGCTGGTTCTGCTTTGAGCATGAAATATTACACACATTACTTATTACTGGTTTGTTCCAGGAACTGATCCGAAAATATGTCTATAAGCTTAAAGCTTCTTACGCATTTGAACTTAAATAAATTCTATATAAACCAAACCATTGACAAAATAAGTAAGATCGGTAACAGTGCGAAAAAGTTATTTGGAATATTAAATTATGTTTACAATACGGTGACTGTACATTCAATTTATAAATGTAAAAATAATTGCATTATCATTAATTCATACTTCTGTTCCTGACTTTCGGTTCAGTGATATCTAATAAACGGAATTGCTGAAGCGTATCATGGGGCATCATATTTATTAGTTTATTCACGCTTTCCCGGAAACATTTATTGCTAGTTCACGATAGTCATCGCATATATACGGTTATAAGTCTATTTTCATAAAACTATATAAGACCTGGGAATACTTTTATTTTGACGTGTTGTGAATTGAACACGTACCAAATTGTTTCATAACTGATGAATATATATAAAAAGACTCCGTAAATGTATACATACCTCTTTTGCAATGGGAAAAATTGAAAAATGGAAATTCTTACTGATAGATTGGGCAAGACAAACTACCTTACATGGTGTAAGGTATGTGGCAATAGGGGATACGTGGATCCGAAAGTATGTTTATGTTTCTTCATTTTTTAAATAGCTTACAATTTTTGCATGCTTTTCTAGCATTTGAAACTCGATATAAATATGTTTTGGTTTTACTACACTTTGGATTTATCGCTTTGGATACGTAGAGAGTTATATCCGCCTTTTATTACCCATATGAGCACGTATACTATTTCGTGATTTTGAATAACATAATTCTGTAGAACAGCTTATTGTTTTACTAAATGTCCTAACTACTTATTCATATAGCTGCGCTTTGAGTACATGCGTATGGAAGGGATTATCCGCCAATTCACCTATCATGCTTTATGACATTCCAATTTCCATTTTTACTTTTGCGATAGTGAATTTGATGTTAGATTTTGGTTATTTTCAAGACTAAGACTTAGTGTATTTCGTATCTTTATAAATTATAAAGGTATTTTGAAATATATCTTTGTTATATGTTAATTTTATTTTTATACACGTTTTTCTTGTTTCATTCTGAAAATTGGTTTGATTTCCCTTAAAATATATTTAATACATTTTAATTCAAAATCATTCATTAAAATCAACATTAGGTATTTAGTGTATGGACGCTACCGAATATGTGTTAATTCATTTGTAATAAAATGTTCAACATTTAATCAAAACAATCAAAACATCATTCGCAGTATAAAATGCTGTTTAACATTGACTCATTAAAACAAAATCGTCTTCATAACAATGTTGACGTTATCAAAAAACGAAGCTGGGAACCAATTTTTGTAGTGCGTTTTCTTACGACAGAGGTCGCTGTTTAATACTAACTGATCCCTTTCGGTGCGGACGTAAAAATCACCTCATGGAAAAGATCTGATCAAACATCGTGATACCCTGCCTTGCAACTCATTTTTGAAGATCTTTCAGAAAAGGTATGCATGTGGCATACTGTATGCGGCGGATTTTGAGATATTTTGCCTCAAACTTGGCCTTTTTACTATACGTTATATATCGGGGGAAAGATTTGGTAGTCATTATTATTTATGGTTATTACTTTTTACGTTTTTACCAGTTATTCCCCGTTGATTTAAAAGGCCAATTCTAGCGCAAAAACCTTTAATTTTGAATTATATTTCGAAACTCTTAGTGTGCTATGCAAACTGCTGTTTCGAATACATAATACACAATGTCAGCATGCGACTAAAATTACCATGGTTTTTGTAAAATAAATACTGAAACACTGTAAGAATAAAAAGTGTGTCAAATTGATTTTAGAAAGCAAATTCAAATAAAGGAAAAATATTGGAAAGCCAGCAAATTAAATATCTAATTATAGTTTGCATGTTTACAGCCTTAGAACTGAAGTGTAAATTGAATGTTGCATATTTCAATAAGAACTCGAGTTACGTCAGCAAGTACAACATCTTAATATTGCATAATGATTACAACGTATTAATAATAATGTCTTCATATTAATAACAATGTTTTCATAATAATAATAATGTCTTCCTATCAATAAGAATGTCTTCAAAATAATAAGAATGTCTTCATATTAATTACAATGTATTCATATTAATTAGAGTGGCGGATAATCCCTTCCATACATGCACGAGAACTTACATGTAAGCTTTATTAGAAAGAATATTTGAATAATTTTCATATATGTTTGACTGATTTCAAACTGTATACTTAAATTTACCCGGTGTAAGCCAATATTACACAAGATTAATTATATGCCTTTAAGGTATAAATAAGCGATCACTTAAGATTGATTTTACAGACGTTATTCTATTAGTACTAGAAACAGAAGGTTTATAATGTAATACAAATTTTAGGCTATATAATTGAACAAAGATAGCCTTTGTAATAATGTTTATTTGTTTTCTTTAGCTTATTTATTAAAAACATATACATTTTATATGCACTTATTACAGTATTCTGTAACTATTTTAATTATGATTGTAAACCTATTTTTCATTAATGTATATACATCGGGTCCTATAACAGGGAATTCTATGGCTATATAGCCTAGAACGATAGATTGTTTTATGTAGTCACGAGGTCGAATCTCACACGGGATTGGGCTATTCTAGATGAAGGTACAATTTGAAATGTTCGTACAATGAGGGGTCGCCGGGGATATTCCTTCCATGTACGGAGACCACAATGGCTCTGATTTTAAAAGATTAGTATTTTCGTTATCATAAATGATGACTTTTATGGAGAGTTTTATGGAGAGTGTGCGTGATACATATGAGTGCCCACCTACCTTGATAACTCTAAGTACAACCTTTAAAATAGCTTCTTTTGTTGGCTGGTCAATGTCATTGTGTTTATTTGTTTTTGACCAAGTATTCCAAGGGGAATAAATAAGTGTTTCCAGATAATATTTGGATTGGTCAATGGTATTGTGAGATATAAACACATTAGTTTCCTAGTCTTGTGATTCATTAAAGTAAAATTGATTTGAAGAGATCCCAAAAGAATTATGATTTTAGTACAAATCAGTTATTATACAATTATCGGCAGTCACCGTGTCTAATGCTCTGCTTTGATTTCAGCTTTTTTAATTACTCCGTTTTCAGGTTTCGTGCTTAAAATGCATTGGAATTTAGCAACATTTTTATTCTCACATTACATTATATCTTTGTACAGCATTCAACTTCAATTTAGAAAAAAGCAAATATTTGTCACTGATTCTAGTGTCAGTGCCAGTTTGAAACTTACTAACTTTACTTTTTAATTGTAACTTTATTCTGAAACATTTCGATTGCGGAATGGTTTATAAGGACTATAGATTAACACGGCTTAAGTCTTTGATGGAATGGGCGAACAATACAACCGTTCATGGCGTCAAGTACATAGTCAAAGCAAATTCGATGACCGAGAAGTAAGCAATTTTATGCTTTTGTTGATTTATGTATGCATATTTTGTAATAATTTTGACAATATCGTTGCATGTAATTGTTGGGGAAAAGCAAACAGTTTTTGTCTTTAATAAATATTGAATTTAAATTCGAAATTAATTTTAAACTGTAAAAGACAGAATTAGGTTTCATTAAATTAATGGACAAAATTTGGAAGCTAATATGACTTACATACATGGAATATTAAAAGTTCTCCTTTTCGTCTCTTAACAGTGATTGATACACTTTTTTGAAAATATTCCGGGTTTTTCAAACTGTATTTTCACTTTTGTATGACTTAATTTATTTTATATTTACTTCAATAACTGACTCAACAAAGAATACGCACAGTGAAAATAGTTTTTCCTATTTTCAAAATACTATTGTAAATACTTTGCAGGTATCTGTTGTCACACAATATTACGATTTAGTTTTAGAAGGAATAACATTGTCACATTGGTACAAGACTGATACAGAAAATGTTAATAGACAGTTATACTGATTTATCATTATTTTTGTGAATTGAATTATGTTTGATAACTTATTTCAATCTGTGCACATTACTAAATAAAGTATTGGTTAAATATACAAGGTATGTACCTCTTCCGCTTGAACGGTCGTTGTTTAAAAGAATCAGTTGTAATTTTGAACTTGTTTCAATAACCATAGGTCATGAATAGCTGATGTTGTTGTGTCTTTTAAAATAGTGGACACCGAGATCTTATCATTTAATTTAGGTAACTAGATCTGAGATCTTCTAAAAAATTATTTTGCTTGCACTTTGTATGGCTATTTAAGGTAACATTTACCAGCTATACTAGATTTCAAGGGTAAAAAAGCAATAAGAACTTATAAAAAGACCATATATATCCTTACTATCTTATTCACAATAGAAATAACTGGCATGCCCCGATAATGTATATGAAAAATTTTATTTCGATACAAATTACAACGAATCTGTCTGTGGAATGACAGCCCTAGCCACTATGTTATGGAATTCGTTTACGCTCGAGCTGGCTTTAAACACATTATCCGGAATAACGGAAACATGTAACAGTGATTCATGTACTTGGCTAAAAGTACTATATATTTATCCTATCAATTTGAAATTGCTTTAAGTGAATTAGAATATATTCAATAAAAATTATTGTTGATATATTTTTTAATATACAACTATAATTGATGTTATTGTGCAAGGTCGTTTCTCAACTGAATTCGAAATAGTTTCATGGAGAAGACTCGTAAGTTATAAACACTGAAGGACAGAATGAAGCATTTTAGACTTAATTGCGCAGAAAGATAATTGAGCTTATAGGCTTATTAAACTAGTAGTAAATTGTCCATACTAATCAACTACTAAGTACACTAAAAATTTGACAGCTTATTATTACGTGTGTGCCGATCAATTGTGGAAGGGACAAAATTGTGAATAGTAATTGTTATCGCAATCGACTCCTCCATCATAAAATAGTGCAGAATATTCTTTACAAAAATAACTCCAATGTTATTCAAATTAACCTAAATATGCATTTGATACAATTTTGTGTCAAATTCCTTTGCAACTTTACCAAAATATATTAGATAAATAGATTGTATGTAAAGAAATATTAAGTATTTAAACTCATTCGTTATATATCGTGACTTTCTGTATTGTCGCCGTTAGTTCAAAATTTAGCTGTTATTGTATTACAATCAAAGGACTAAATTTTAATCTGATTAAAGATTACTTACAGCAATATTTAGTAAAGCCGTGTAAGAAACAATTGACCCATCACGATTTATACAATGTTTGAAGCAATGTTTGCGAAAGCATTGCTAATATAAAAGGAAATTAACGAAATGTAAAGTTTTAAAAGAACGTGCTATTTTTTTTTCGGATTATTAGTTTCCTTTTTATATTAACCTCCATTAAAATGTTAAGATCTATTAAAGAGTTCACACAGAATACCACCTTCCATGGAGTCCGTTATGTTGGAGGAGCACATTCACGCTTCAGAAGGTAAAATATTTACAAAAAATGCTATTGTTCAAGCATGAATTTAAGTACAGAACCCCGGTAATTAGTAGACGGTCTCTCTCTTGTTTTTAATGACTTATTGAATGTCCCTTATCAGACTGTGATTTAAGGTCATGTCA